AAATCTAATTGACTAGATAGAATTCAATAAAAATAAACGAAATCTATTCAATTTGAAAAGCGAGAGTAGACACTTCCAAAACAAAATCTTTCTCTCTTCTATCGTTACATTCTATATTGTATTCCTATGGTTTCAAATGAATCTTACTTAGAAAGACGATAATACTCAATGCTATCACTAAACTAGTGAATATGTACAAATATTCACTTCAAAAAAGAATAAATGTCTCTGTTATTTTATGAAATCGAAAAAAATGTATTTACTCGACTCTTTTCCCTTAATCTAAAAAAAACAGTTTACTAAAATAAAGTATTCAAGTCATCATCTTCATGTAAGCATTGATTTCAGATCAGTCGAAATAAGTCAATACGTGTAAGATGCTAGCAGAGAATTGTAATTTTCTAGAAAAGAAGTTTGTGGTTCTCATATTTTATTTTCTAAATTAACAAAAAGAAAATAATTAACTCATATATTGTTAAGATTTAATAATAATATTCAAGTATGTCATTTGATAGTAGATTCTTTTAAAAATATTAAGAAAAACTAATGTGTGATTTTTCTGAATCATTTTTTCTATATTATTCGTAAGAAATAATCACTTATGGTTTCTATGAATACATCGTGAATCTGAAAAAATTACATCAGTTTCTATTACATATTTCAAATCTATATGATCAATATCGTGCTAAACTTGACAATTTTATTGCGATTATTTGAATGTATTGTGGCTGATAAACAGTATTTCATTGAAAAAAAATGAAAGTACATTGACATATGAGTTCATTTATAATCTACTAGTCTTATAATTAGTCGAATAAACTTATCCAAACTTTCTTTTTATCTAGATAAAATAAGCAAATATTTCAATTAGGTATTATTATTAGTAACATGAAAGAAATTTTAGATAAGTTTATTCAACTAAATAGAAAAAATTATTATTCAACCAATATGTCGATGTATTTTCATTTTATTTTTGTAGTGTTAATATTGGCGACTACATAATATTTTTGACGACTAAATGTGTTCATCATATTTAGATCTATGAGTCATTGACATTCCTAGTAGAATTAATCATTATCTTAAAAAAGAGCATATTTCGATTTCTCTGAATGCTTTGTTTTTTTGTACTATATATATCGGCTGTGAAGGTAATATGTATGTATTCTTTACATTGCGACATAAAAATTTATCTTTGAACATCAACACTTATTGCATCTCTTCTTTGTCTTGTGCTCTTTTCAGGTCATTCTACTGATAGCAGATATTATATAAATTTACAGCATAAATTGTAGATGAGTGACATCATAAAGAATAAAATATTGAATGAAGTCGTTTCAGTATTCAAACTATTCGAGAAAACACCGGTTTTTTCACAAATCTAAAACTCTTCTTTTTTGCTATATAATATATATGCATCTATATAATTATTTTTTAATTGTCAAATCATCGATGTTTGACGGGGCTTAAAACAGAATTCATTGTTCGTTTAAGTTTCAAAGTTATTATTGATTTACAACAAACCATATATTTTATAAAAGACATGCATTTATTGTGGATAGATGATACAAGAAAACAAAGTATTTATAGAAGTCGAAATAAGTTTTTTTTTAAGGTAATGAATAATCAGCTACATGTTTACACAATCGAATAGAAGTTTTAACCGTATATATCAAATTATACTTGGAGTATTTCAATACCATTAATATTGTAGATGCATGTAGTTCAACCTTTCTTTCAAAATTTATCGAATTTCGATTAAATAATCGTCTAAACCCCCCCTGCATTAGAAGACCCCGGGTCTTCTATTATGTCTCATCGTAAAAATTTCTCAGGGGGGTCTTCTATTATGTCCTAGGTTTTTTAGCAATTATTAACTAAATGTGGTTTTCCAAAAAGTCAGAGCGATTTTCACGGTTTTGAAGGTTGAGGGATACATTTGGACCCACTGTCTAAATATTCCCAGCTAGAAAACCTAAAAATTGTGCACTTCTGGGCGGAAATTTCCTAATTAAAGTTCCTAATTAGCAAAAAATTAATTAATTAAAGGGGAGTCTTCTATTACGCCCGATGAAATTTTTGTCCAGGGGGGTCTTGTATTATGGGGAGTCTACTAATGTGGGCAGGTCTTCTAATGCAGGGGGGGTTATTCAACATATAGTTTGAAAAAAAAACATATATGATCATTTTTCAATTACATGTCGTATCTCTTTTACTTTTGTTTTTACTCGAGACGCATTTATTGTTCATTTTTTAACTGATAGTTTACATAAAGTTGATTAAATCAATTTCGATCTATCTGTAGAAATCAGTTGCTGTGAAAATGTATAGTTAATCTGTTAAGTACGAGTCAATATTTATTCAACTATTTTCTCTAATTTTCCTGCAATAGTTATCGTTGATATTTTTACGTATTTCAGAATATTCATAGCTACGAAATCTGATTTACTTAATGAATTATCCAGAATAGGACAAGATTGATACTGAGCTCACTCAACAAATATTTAAATTTTCTTCCTTTTCTTTCTGATAGTCTATATAATTGCTGTTCATCTCACAATACTAATAATAATAAGGTAACATCCAACTTGTCACTATCGCATAAAAAATATTTGAATTTTAAGTTATTTAAAATTTATGTTCAATACGAACAATTCATTATTCCAGCAGCATAAAATGTAGGAAGATGTAAAATTATTTCGCTTTCAACTTTCCAAGAGCTTTCTTTATTCGCCACAACAAAATACCACTTAAATATGATATTATTGAATGCTTTTCTGCTTATCTTTACAAAACAAAAAAGGATGTGTCTGTGAATAAAATAATGTCGAATAATCCTTGCCAAACTCTAATTCGATATTACTAAATCTTCTATTGATCGATTCATATATACATTTCAACGTAGTTATGAATCATTTTTTTCCTCTCACACAAATTAATGTGAATATTTCTTCTTTCCCTCTATTTTTTTTGAAACTCCAGAGATATGATCACCATATTTCAACTCTATTGATACCAATATCATGGGTTTCTCATTATTTTCTCGTATTATTTAAACACAAAAAATCAACCAAAACCTCGCATTTTCGATTATGATTGTCATATCACCAAGAAACATATATGTCGCACTATCATGTTTTTTCTTGAACACTGTACCTGTGAAAAAGACGGAACTCACACTTACAGAAAATTATCATTTTCCATGTCACTCTGACTATGCACTTCCAACCTTAGATGACGTTTTAACAAACTTACATAATTCTTTAGACATCCTCGTTGATGCCTTTAGTAACGCAGTTGAAAACTCCCGCATTCATACTGATTCTTTCAGCAGCAAAAATCGTGCTTTCAGCATCTAAAACGATGCATTTTTCAATCCTTGATGATGCGTACACAACCCTTTCAATGCTTCTAGCATTTCTCACGCTGCTTCTGGAATCCCCGATGATACTTCTAGCATTCCTGATAGTGCTTCTGACGCCCCTGATAATGCTCATAATGACTGATGCAAAAGTCTTGGCACAAATGTCAAGACCTATATTATTTCAACAGAATGTTCTAGGGTCTAATTCTCTCACCATTAGAGAGACCAAAGTGTCTGCTTTCAAACGCACGTTTTGAAAAAAGCTTTTGATGAGGTTAAGGTTTTCAAATTTTAATTTTTGAAAAAACACAAAAAAACGACTTGTAACCATACGAAATTAGGAAATGTTACGATGACACACCTTTATGTAAGTTTCACAGTTTTCTGCTGTTCTACAAAAATTTAGTAGCTCCATTGCTACGATCCAAAAAAAAGCGTAGTTCGATCGATAATAGTCTGGCTAAGTTATAAATGGATTTAATTATGACGAAATTGATGCCAAAGTGCTATTTTGTTCATTAGTAGTGTTTGGCTGCTTTTAGGAAATAAAAACGTCCATTCCCAGTTTTTCATACGGATTCTGAGCGGTCTTGAAAAATAACATTTTTTGGACTAATTTAAAACATTTCCTGTTTATCTTTCTAACATCCCAGATTCCCCTTATAGCATTCTTGTAGATGTTTCTAGCATTTCTCATGTTACGTATAATATGCCTGATGATGAGTGAAGGAAACCTGATGATAATTGTAGCATTCCTGATAATGCTTTCTATCATTACTAATCATGGCTGTAGCACTCGTATTAATGCTTCTAACATCTTAGATAATGCTTCTTGTATCTGAGATGGTGCTTTTGGTATCTTAGATGAAGCATTTTGGATACCACTTGTACCATCTAAGGTAACGCTTTTAGCATCGTATATAATACTTGTTGCATCTTAGACATTAGTTTGAATATGTTAGAAAATCCTCTCACTGTCCTGAAGCATGTACATGTAGCATCTGGGATGATCTTTCCCGTATGTTATGCTTTTAGCATTTCTGGTAAGCCTGTTTGGAACAGAGAGGATCCTCTCAACATCAATCACCATAATTTCAGCATCTCAAATGATCTTTCTAGCATGAAAGATGAGGCTTTCAAGATCCCCTTCTCCCACCTTTGCATCTCTGGTAATGCTTTTAGCATTTCAGATAACCCATTCAACATTTTACATAATACTTTTAGGATGGTAGATGATCTTTTCAAAAGTTATTCCGGTGCCTCTCTAGACTTTAGAAATTAAAATTAGCATAAAACTCAGAGTTTTTCTTACTTTTGCTAATCTGTAGATATTCCATGCATGTTCAAAGTCGAATTACGCATCTCAAGTAAAAATCAAAGAAAAAGGTCTCGTGTGAATCCATTTCGAGACGTCATCTATCTGAATACTTATGTTGATCTCCCAAACATTTTCATTGCAAACTGTAGTCAAAATTTTTAGCATTACTATCGGATATAAAAGAAATTTTCATTTGAAATTTGATAATTTTTACTGGTTCTTTCTGATTCCATCAGATAAAGTACAAATAGTTTCAAGAATTTTGAACAATATGAAAAACTTATTTTTGAATAAAATCTTTTTCTTTTCATTTTAGTACCAATGAGTGCAAGTAACATTGATATTCATCCAAAGGCACCATGGTCCACAAATAGTATCACTGTTACTGGAGGAAATGGAGCAGGCAGTAAAACCAATCAATTCAACTTCCCATGTGGCTTATACGTCGACGACGATCTCACTATTTATGTTGCTGATTTCCATAGTTATCGTATTATGGAGTGGAAATTTGGTGCAACGAATGGCACCGTAGTTGCTGGTGGCAATGGAAAAGGTAATGAACCTGATCAATTAAATTCGCCAGTAGATGTGATTATCGACAAAGCGACCGATAGACTCATCATCAGTGATCGAGGAAATAACAGAGTCGTTCGTTGGCCTCGTCGAAATGGTACTCATGGAGAAACAATTATTTCAAATATCGCTTGCTTCGGTTTGACAATGGACGACAATGGTTATCTCTATGTCGTTGACAATGAAAAACATGAAGTAAAACGATATAAAATTGGTGACACTCAAGGAACACTACTTGCAGGTGGTAATGGACAAGGAAATGGTCTCAATCAACTCTTTTATCCCAGCTACGTCTTTGTCGATCGAGAACATTCAGTTTATGTGTCTGAACGGGGAAATCATCGTGTCACAAAATGGGAACAAGGTGCAAAACAAGGCATTGTTGTAGCTGGTGGTCAAGAACAAGGAGATAGTCTTACACAGTTGGATCGTCCTGAAGGAATCGTTGTTGATCAATTGGGTGCTGTCTATGTGGCTGATTTTGGGAATCATCGAATTATGCGTTGGCCAAAAGGTGCCAAACCGGGAACTGTCATTATTGGTGGAAACGGTTCTGGATCACAGTTGAATCAACTCGATCGTCCCGTAGGTTTGTCCTTCGATCGACATGGTAATCTCTATGTCGCCGATTGGGGAAATCATCGAGTACAAAAAGTTGAAATTAAATGAACTCAATTCGTTTGAATTATTATTTTCTGTTCCGTTCTTTTTCTTTTCTGCTTCCAAATAAATTTTGATTGAATTGAAAAATTGTATTCAATTTTTATTTCTGTTCTCGCAACCAGGAACGACCCTGGTGGAGCCATGGCGAGCGTAATGCTCAGGCACGCGCGGGAAGACTCACAACATTCACATGCACCCAAACGATGACATGCGTCCGTGAGTCTGAGGGCTCGATCGTGTTGCCACGGACATCAGAACCGTTCCTGGTTGGGCTTTTAGGGACTACCCAGAAGTCCTTCTTATAATGTGAAGCCCTAACTAATCTCAACTCAAAAAAAAGAAAAGAACAAAAAAAGTAAAAACTAATACCTACATTTTTTTATTGTCTTGTCTTGTATTGAGTTCAGTTCAGTTCAGTTCAGTTCAGTTGTATAATTTTCTATCGTCGCAGACAATCTCAAATAGAAAAACAAACGATTATTATTGATTCAATAAATTGAATGATTTTCCATACAGAATCATTCATATTTACAGGTGTAAAATCAATAATTTTTCTTTGTTTTCTATTGCGTCAGAAAATGATGCAACGTCAATAACAATCATTGCATCATATTATCATTGCGTCATCAATGGGTGTGGGTGTGGGTGTGTGGGGGGCGGTGTGGGTAGGGATGCACCAAACCCAAACATTTTCAAACCCAAACCCAATCCTCGGATTGGGTTTGACTGGGTTTGATTGGGTTTGGGTTTGGGTTTGACAGGGTGTGACTATATTTGGGTTTGACAAGGTTTGACTCGATTTAGGTTTTATGCGCCTCCCACAAAGATTCTAGATTTTCAGTGTCAAAACTCGTCAAACCTGATCAAACTTTTGTTGCAGTTTTGTTCAGCTTTTTTCGCTCTATCCGATTCTGCTATTAGATTTCGTCTAAAATTAAAAAAGTGCTAAGGTTTGACAAAGTTTGATTAAAAAACGGAAAAAAAGACGCAATTTTTGTCAAACCCAGTGAAACCTTAGCACTTTTTCTAATTTTAGACAAAATCTAATAGCAGAATCGGATAGAACGAAAAGAGCTGAACAAAACTGAGACAAAAGTTTGGTCGGGTTTGACGAGTTTTGACACTGAAAATCTAGAATCTTTGTGGGAGGCACATGAAACCTAAACAGAGTCAAACACTGTCAAATCCAAACCGCAAACCCAGTCAAACCCAAACCCAAACATTGTCAAACCCAGTCAAACCCAAACCCAAACCCAATCAAACCCAGTCAAACTCTGTCAAACCCAAACCCAAACCCATTGG